GTTTGTTTGGGAGGTGGAGCACGATCTGCGGGAGTAAGGACCCGATGGCGTGGCGGGACGCGGCCGACAGCATCCGCGCGGAGCTCAACAACCTGGAGCTGACGCGGGAGGACGACGACGCGCGAAGCAGCGTCACCGTCGCCGGCAAGGTCGGCGGTGGCGGCGGCAAGGAGAAGAAGCTGCTGCTGCGGCAGCAGTCCACGGCCTCTTGCTCGACGGTCGAGGACGGAGCGACGGCGTCGGTGATAAGCGGCAGCGAGGCCTCTTCTTTCGCGCCCTCCTCGACCTGCTTCTCCTCTACGTCATCGTCTTCCAGCAGGGCGGCCCAGCACGGCCGGGAGAGCCAGCGGAAGGCGATCCTCCGCGCCGGGTTCCGGGACCTGGTCGGCGTGGCGGGCGACGACGACTCTCGCTTGCTGTACCTTTCGCTGGCGGTGTTGCCCGACGGCCACGAGTTCACGGTGAAGGACGCGGCGGTGCTGCTCCACGGCGACGGCAGCGCTCGGTGCGGCGATGGCATGGCGGCGGCGTCGGCGGCGGTGGCGGGGGGAGACAAGGGTGGCGAAGAACGGGAGGAGAAGGCGGCGAGGAGGGTGCTCAGGGTCCTGGAGGCGCGGGGCATCCTGACCGCGTCCGGGGGACGGGGAGGGAGGAGGAAGAGCACATCGTCGCCGTCGTCGTTCCGCATGCACGAGGCCCACTCGGGGTTCGCGAGGGAGATACTCCTGGACTGCCCGAAGATCCTCGGGTGGGCCGTCGGGAGGTGGGTCGGCTTCCTCTCGTCGCTCGACGCCGTGCTCTTCTTCGACCCGTCCGCGCTCGCCCGCCTCTGGTCGGCGGTGGAAGACGTCGGGGGCAAGGGCTGGCGCGACGGGCGGCCGTACGAGACGGCCCTCGAGGCCATCGACAACTACGACCCCCTCTGCCGCGTGTGCCTGGTGGCGGTGGCCAAGTTCCGGAGCGCGGAGGGGGACTGGGACGGAGCGTCCCTGATGTGGCGACGCCTCCTGACGGTGGAGCAGCGGGCCCAGGAGCCCAACGTCATGTACCCGGTATGGGAGCTGGTGAACGCCGCGGAGAAGGGCGGGAAGCCGGAGGAGGCGGCGGCGTGGCGGCGGTACGGCCGCGAGACCCTGAACCTGGCCATGGTGAAGTCGACCATGGTGCCGCCCGAGACCGGGGCTCGCAACAGCGGCGGTGGCGGCGGCGGCGGCGGCGGCGGCAGCAGCGGCGGCGGCGGCGGTGGCTACCCGACGAAGAGTAGCAGCAGCGGCGGCCCGACGCGCTCGGCCGACACGGCCTCCGTGCTCCGGTCCCTCGCTCTCAACATCGTTCGGTTCGGGCCTTCCCATGGCGTGGAGGCCGAGCTGATGCTGCGGCGCGCCCTCGAGATCGAGGTGGCCCGGCGAGGGCCTGACGACCCCCAGGTGGCCGTCACCCTTGAGCGGCTCGGCGTCTGCGTGCGGCAGGCTGGGCGCCTGAAGGAGGCGGAGCAGCTGCTGAGGCGAGCTCTCACGATCGAGGAGGCCAGGCTGGGTGAGTGAGCCCTTCGCGACTCTGACTTCTCGAGAGCGGGCCGACTTTGCGTGCGGGAAAATGTCGCTCTGGAGTGTTTGTGAGGCCCCATGTCCACGGCTGTCGTTATGGTCACGACGACTACGACTCTTGTGGCGCTTGTGATGGCACTTGGGCACGCTCGTTTGTAGCGATCCGTGTTGCTGCTGCGAGTACGACTGTGTTCTGGTAGACTCGTTTCCTGCAGCAAGGTCGTGGTAGTTTACCAATCAACGCATCGCAGACCTGTGAAAGGTTCTCCGCCCTTACCTTGCCCGACTCGGATTGTGCCTCCTCAGGCGAAGACGACCCTCGGGTCGCGCGCACGCTCTTCCACCTGGGAGTGTGCCTCCGTGTTGCTGGGAGGCTCGAGGAGGCCGAGGAAGTTCTCTGGCGGGCCCTGGACATCGAGACGGCGGGGCGGGGCGCCGATGACCTGGTCGTCGCCCGCACGCTCCACGCGCTGGGCCTGTGCGCCAAGCTCTCGTCTCAGGGCGGCGGCGGCGACGGCGCGCTGGAGGATGCGACCGAGCTGTTCGCCCACGCCCTGGCCATCAGGGAGGCCAAGCTCCAGCCCGACGACGCCTCGGTTGGGCAAACCCTCTTCGAGCTGGGCGTGTGCCTGAGGCGCGACGGGAGGGTGCAAGAGGCGGAGGCGTTCCTGAGGCGGGCCCTGGGGATCAAAGAGGCGGCCGCGGCGCTCGAAGCGGAGGGAGGCGTCGCCGCCACCGGCGCCGGCGGCGCCGGCCGGGCCTTGAGTCGCCGCAGCAGCAGCGGCAGCAGCGGCGCCGGCAGCAGGGGCAGCAGCGGCAGCAGCAGCAGCAACCGGAACGGCGTCGACGAGGACTCAGTGGGGCTGGCCATGTTCCAGTTGGGCGTGTGTGTCCTGCAGGGCGGCCGGCGGCTCGAGGAGGCGGAGACGTTGCTGAGGAACGCTCTCGACGTGGAGACACAGAGGCTCGGTGAGTTCGGTGTTGGTTTGCAGTCACCTGCTGCCAAGGGCTCGGTGGGATCACACTGGCGAAGAACATCTACGTAGATTGCGTCTTGTGGTTGCGTGCGTTTTCGGACGCTGCCTTCCGACGACGACCACTGGTTGCTGTGCGAGCAGCAGCGGTCACGGAAAGTGTGGTGCAGGACCCTCGTGTTGGCGTCAGAAGAACTGGTGGAGACGTAGTGCGGAGCTGGGTGGGTTGCAAGGGTTGCCCTGCACGTCTTGACACGGCGCACGCCTCGAGATTTGTCTGCTTTGTTGGGGGCAATCGCTAGGTTTGATCCCACAACACATCTCTCTAAGCCGCAAGAGACATGATCCGGGCGTTCTCTCGGTGTGTTCTGATTGCGGTTGGAGTCGGGGGGGGGGGGGGGGGGGGGGGGGG